GATAGCCCGGCGTCCTGGACGGAGGTATTAGCATGGTCCACCACGTCTTGGATGGGGAGGAGGAGGAGGAGGAGGAGGAGGAGGAGGAGATGCGACGGGGATGCACGTGGGAATAGGGCGGCGATATGGCGGAGGCAGTCGGGGAATACCAAGGAGTCACAGTCAGTCAGTCAATCAAGTCAGCCAGCATGTCGTCGTGCGCGTGTGTGCAATGTGTGGAGAGCTTTAGGTGCGTGAGTGACCGGCCGGCATGATGCGTTGGTCCTGCGGGCTGCCGTTTGGGGGTTACCTGGAGAATGTAGACGAGGGAGTGTGTGGATCGGTTGATTTGCTATGCTTGACCAAGGGGGCGCGAGGTTCGAATGTCTTTGGTAGAGGTGTCTCTCACGGGCATGGTTGAAGGTAGTGAGTGGGTGGATTGGTAGGTCGTTGTAACTAGGTGCGGTCTTAGCAGAAGTAGACATGAAGTAGACACGAGGGATGGAGATGTTGTGGAGGATGTATCCCCAAAGTCACTCTGCCTTTGACGCCGTGATACTACCCCTTTCGGCCTGAGACGGTGGATGAGATGCTGCCTCGTTTGGACTGGTGTTTGCCTTATCAGGGGACATGGAAGATGTTTGGCTTGGCCCCCGGGATGTAGGGGTGTCGTTGGAGATGTTGGGCATACTGCAGGTCCAACCCTCGGAGCGGCATTTGCGTGGGTTTTGGCTCCTCATTGGTGATACTTGACTTTACTTTTCTTGCTGCCGCGCCGTTTTCGTTATATTCTGTAAGCGACATGTCGGCCGTGTAAGCAAAAGACTCAGGTCATCCAAGTCATTGAGCCACGGGGTGGAGGGAGCTAAGCAAACTCCACCTTGTGGATGGTGAGCTATCAGGGACCAAGGTTGTGTCTCTCCCTGTGATATGTGAGGTGTATGAAGGATGAGGTGAGAGCTCTTGGTTCTTTTTGCTTGGTTCTTTTTGCTGTGCTGTAATCTTTGCTAAGCTTGGGGAGCCTTGTCTTCTGCCTGGATGGAGACGGGCGATCAATACGCGGGAGATGGACTGGCCGCCGGACGGATGGGGGGAATGGAGTCCCCGGGGAGGGCGGGATCAGGCGGTTGATGGCGCCATCTAGGTTGGACGTTGTGAGAGAGCGAGACAAGAATTGAGTGGGAGGGTGATCGTGGAGCCCGCCGCGTGTGGGACGGCAGATGAGAAAGGGCGCTCTCTCATGGGGGATTGCAAAGGGGGACGACGTTAAGCGAACTCTCTGTCTTGCTCGCTTCTCGCTTCGCTTGTCAGTTTGAGGGGGCGGTCGTGTGTCTATCTGCTTAGAATGGACGTCTAATGTGGGCTACTCGGCCGTTGGAATGGATACACCAACTGGGAAGAGGGGTGTCAGGACTTCAGATGATGGCGGCGGGGGAGACAGACAACCACATGGTTCATGGTATTTACAGGCTACATGGGCAACGGTCGACGGTCTGTCGGATCAGGGACCGGGACGGCGGAACCGGAAGGTTTCTTTCAGATGACTTGTGCGGGTGTGGGTTCGTCTCTGTGAGGACTTGAGAGACGGTTGAAGCATGTAGATTAGAAGAAATGGGACGGACACAATTAGCACGGCTCGGACGGTCTGGAGAACGGTCCATGGGTTTGAGTTTGTCGCGATGGAGACTCTGGGCAGCAAAAGAACGCGCGGCGTCGACGTAGAATCTGATATCGCCGGCGGGATATCGACACCCGGCGCCGACTGATAAGTTCGCTTGCTAGACCCGGGCAGATGGGCAATCGCAGAGGTCATGGCGTTTCTCGGCCGGAAGGTAGATGCTTCTTCCATTCGGAACATTTTCATTGCTTCTTTTTCTGGAGTTGCGAGACTTTCAGACCCTCATGAGCCGTTTGATCCTCAGGGGAGGCGCAAAGAGTGGTGACAATGGTCGGTGGACGGTGGACGTCGGTGGGTTTTGGGTTCAGTTTTTGGTGTCTTGGTCCCCGTCTATGATAGATGTGAGGCCGTTTGCGTATGCGCAATGCGTGTCTTGGAAAAACCAAAACCGTAGGAGGCCCTTTGTGCCTACGTAAGTCGACGCGTTGGCGTCGGTTTCCGAGACGCAAAGGGAGACGAAAATGTGGGAGATTAACGGAGTCTTATGTAGATGGAGAAACGGCGCCAGCGGGGGTCGGTTGGTGATTTGAGACGGGGATGGCTCCTCGACGGGATGTGGAGGCCTTTTGAGTGGTTCCCGACCTGGTGGGAGAGGCAAGGGGGAGGGGGTATGGGGGGCGTGTTATAGTGAAAAAAACGAAGGGTTGTGTTTGAGAAAGATGAGTGTCTTTTTTGGAAAACGGCCGATGATGTGGGTTATCGTTGCATCGTTCTAAGAAGCTTAGTTGGTTTGGTGATGTGCATGTATTGAAATAAGAATGGGTGTCATTTGGTTGGTTCGTGGTGGAGCGGAGGTGTTGGTTTTGAGTTGACCGGGATTGTTGGGGGCTCTTTGAGACTACCGTCGTCTAGCACAGATAGGCTCGTTTCTTTCTCGTCGACTGACGTTGTTTCGACATCTGCAAAAATTCCCCGAGGACGATCTCGCAGAAAAAGAAATATGCGTGGTCTAGACTGCGGTCCGATTCGACTAGAACGGAGGCAAGGTGGCGAAGGCGGTGGTTTATCAACCTTCTGAGATATCACCGAGGGCAAGAGGTTTAAGACTCAACGAAACGATGGTTGCATATCGTGTCTCAGAGAAACCTGCGAGCGTTTTCAACAAACATATACATGCGTCATTGTGATTTAGACAATGTGTTGGCTTACGTTGGTTCTGAACCAGGCTTCGTGATTTTAGCAAGGCTTAAACATGTATCGAAATTGGAGCATGATTACCTGTCTAAGGGGCTATCATTGTGGCCTTGGTCATTCTCAACCGGACTGACCAGTGTACCTCACACCATATATGTACCAAATGATTAAAGAGGTGATGGGCTTTCAGGGACGAACACCTGGACCTCAACGCAGCTGGTTCTCAAAAATGAAGTCCTCAACAAGCATGCTCAACGAAACCCTTTCAACTATATTGGCCAACTGCATCAGTAATGGGTCTTCTCAGAAGAGGGGCAGTGAGACGGCCTGTTGATGTGTGATGGTATTGAACTAGATCATGTGTGCAATCTGCCAAAGCTACTATGAACCGAGCTAAGGAGTCTTGACCCCCAAACTTTCTCCTGAAACCCAACGTATGCTGTGCGGCAGGCCATGAGATCTTACTAGATCAAGTAAGAGCGTAGATGCATTTGTATCGCCCAAGGGGGTCAAAGGCAACAGGAAGCCTCGAGGTCGCGAACCTTGCGCGCAACATAAACGAGTTGCAAAGTTTCCTCCTCCCACTTGGCGTCTCGAGAGTACTTTGTTCAGATGTACCAGGGATGACGATGTGTCTTCCCAATGCATCCTGCGTCTTTGACTGGATGCTCATCCCGTTCCAGACGAAAGAAGTCGATGATGGATGTTCCTGTCGTATGTGTATCATCTTCAACTTCGTCCGCCTGCTGTATGGTCCATCCACAGGCCGCCATCGATGTTCTACTTTGCTCATCAAAGCGACAGTCCGGATCTCTCGAGAAACAGATAGAGAAGCTTCTGATGTACGGTCTTTGTTTCAAGTCGGATTTGACAAAGTGTAGTGATTCAAAGGTATGAAGTGTCCCAGCGCAGGTCAAATCGCAAGAAGCTCTTCTAGCCATGTGAATTTGAAGAGATTCGAGGCCTCCTTTGAATCCCTCCAGTGGTTCTATCAAATTCCCAACGCACGATATGCGCCTTAAATCGACCACCTGGGGCTTATAAGAACAATACCTCCATGGGAATCCCTCCAGACGAACGTGGCGGACGAGACTCGCATTGGTGGCCCCAATCGTGCGGACGAAATCCTGTACCTGGATGCGATAGGGGATAGGTCGGAGGCCGCCCGAGGCCAAAGCAAATTGGTTCTTCGAAAAGAATATGACGTAGGCTTCTTCGTAAACCCCCTTGCAGGTGAATAGGATAGACCTGGAGTCGCGCTCGCTGCGATCGGCGAACTGTGTTGAGATCGGTCGGTAGAAACCAGGGCGGACGAGAACTAGCTCGTAGATTCGCTTTCGAAGCTCTACAGGTAGCTCCAAGAGTCTGAAACTTCTTTCGTCCCTCCGAAACTTCCTCCTTAGCGCTTCATCTTCCTTCTTCCTGATTCGTTTCAGTTTGTTCCTCTCCTTGAGTGCTTTCTTGAGTACTTTTCGCTCCGTCTCTTCCGGTGAATCGTAGAAGGATGGATGAAGCCAGCGGTCAGGTAGAAGAAAATAAACAGCCACGCAGGGGCAACAGAAAATGCAACAGGCAATTGTGACAAGATTCTCGACAAGGTCATCGGTAATAAATTCTGTAAAAGATCTACTCATCTTGACGCCCGTGTTGTCGCCTGGAGGACGATCGTGACATTCTCATAGAAGCGTATAAAGCTCGAAGAGAACTGTGAAATGGACAGGGGTATGCGAGAAAACTCACCTAACCGACTGTCATGTAAAATTTGAACTGTTTGAGAACCTCGCTGGGTTTGATGGCGGTGCTAGGCGCTCCAAGAACTGAACTTACGTCAATACCCTGCTGGAGCGTGGCACAGGACACGATCTCATATCAGATTCACTCATGGAAGTCATCCAAACCGAAATCTCAGGCTAATTGTGCTAGAGACTCGGAAAAATCTCAAATGTGGACTGCATATCGGCTTCACAAGACAGAAAGGGGAAGGTTGTCATCGATGAAATGAAGCGTTCTCCAACATTTGAAAGTCAATAGATAACCTGAGCAATAGAATATGTCTGTCATCCGAATCCGTAATCCAAAAAGCTTAAGAAACATGTATGTAAGAACATCTCTATAGATCAACTCCGTCATCTCCGTAATATACACACAATTTGTGTTACAACATCTTGAGCAATCCCCAGGACAACTCTCGCGGTTCCTCTAATACAGCCTAACAACCATCTTTGGATGATGAGTTCTGCAAAGAAACTCCGTGCTTCTCATAGATGTACTCTTTGTAGTGCAACAACTTGTACAGATCCCCAGGCAAGCACTCGCGAACCCTCAAGTCGACACCAAGCTCCTCTTCTATCCAAGGAAGCAACGGATGAGTAGTGTCAACTTTGAGAGGCTCGCTCACTTTGATCCATCCGCAAAACTTCAAGATCCTTCTCATCGAGATCTGGTTGCGATCCGCGTCCTTGGAAAGAGGCCTCATCTTGACAGAGAGTGACCTGATGCCCTTAATTTTTCCCACGGTGGCGTAGACGGCAGCGAGGAACGCGTAAACTTCATCTTCGGGGTGAATACCCTTCGGAATTTTCCGATCCTCGTGAAAGGCATCCTCGAGAATTCGCGACTGTCCCGAATTTGTCATTGCCCCGCGCAAGTTCTTCGCGGTGTCGTCGGGCATATCAATTTCAACGGAGTCGAGGCCGTGGGAGAACCGTTGGAGTTGGTTGACGATCGGCCTCACGTTATTGCTCAAGGGCTCCTTGTCCTGCCACGCCGACCAGGGGAATCCTCTCAGAAGGACGCGGCGGACGAGACTGGCGTTGGCCCTGCTGGTCTGGAAGAAGAACTTCATGTCGCTTTCGGTCGAGACCGAGACCTTGGGCTCGAGCTGGCCTCTCCAGCGAGCATCTGCTTTGGCGGCTTCTCTCTTTGCTCTGGCGGCGTCTCTGGAAAGTCTCTTGGTTGCTCTGTCGTCGTCGTCTTCTATTTTGCCTGTGAGGACCGCTGCCTTGGGCGCTTTCGTTGGCGGGGCGGAGGGCGGGCCCCAGACCGTGGTGCGCTCGGTGTAACGGCCTGGCCCAAAGGCGAAAGTGTTTTCCCGATAGAGGACTTCAATTGCCTCTTTGGATATCTTCTTGCATGTAAAAATGATGCCGCGCTTCCGGATCTCGCCAGGGGTGTCGAGGATCTCGTCAGGGGTGAGCTGGCGTGGGCGTATAGGCTCTTTTCGGACGAAGAGATGACGATACACCTGCAGTCGAATCTCGCATGGCATATCGAGAAAACCCAACTTGGATGATTTGGGTTGATCCATGTAGTAGGGGATCGAGCCAACCTCTACTCTCATTGTCTCCGTCGTGGTTGTGGTCGTAGACATGAGTGTGACTGTGGTTAGCTGATCCTCTTGGTAAGGTATTTTTGCTTTTAGAATGTTGTTATTCTATGGAATATGTGGATCAAATGCAAAGATCTAAGTGAGATAAAGAGGGAGAGAAGGCATCGTAATATACCAGCGCCTGTGTTTTCGGAGAAAGGAAATCACCATTGTGAGCCCGCAAAACTTTGAAGCTATCTGCGACCTGTTTGACCACACCCCGCCGTAATGGAACGTAACCAGCCAGGTGCAGGAGAGAATCCGTACAAGTCCCAGCTCCATATCGCATCAAGACTTATCAGTGTTTGGAACCCAGTTTGCTAGATATCGCATCAACACTTACTAGTGGTTGAAAGCCAGCTTAACAGTCACGGAGCCGAAGCCACCACTCGGCCGCTTCCGGGGCCGAACAGGCGTCGGTTGTCGTCTGCCGGGGGCTCTGCCAGCCTGTAAGAAATCGGTGAGGCGGCGGTACGATACAGCGGGGTATTGGTGGGGTAATATGCACTATCGTTTCTTTTTTCCAACGGGTGCGGCACCCAGAACGGTCATCACTTTTCGCCTCCCCGAGCCCAGAGCCTGTTGACATCTGCACTTTCGTGGTTTGAATGGCAGATATGCTTGTTCAACTCGGCTCGGCGTAAGAATATGAACAGCCTGCCTCGGACCCGATTGCCACATTGTTCAATCAAATCAGCCTTACTTGCTGTGTCAACCAACTAGGGGGCGACGGATCTACTTGCCTCTCGGATCTAGACCGCGAACGCCTCGATGACTCACATGCGAACTCGTCATCCGCTTGGTTATCGAGCGCATCCCTGGGCTATAATTCATTGGTTACTGCAGCCGAATGGAAGTACGAATCTGCGTGCGGTTTTGTTTTCTCACTCATTCGAGAATGATAGGCACTCCGAATAGCGAGTCCAATCGAAGGCGATTCCGAGACGGGAACTACACTGCATCTTTAGTGAGCTGCTGATGACGTTGGCCGCGTCGACCACTGATTTCCGCTCATTCATCCGGGGCTTATAGTCACGAGGCAAAGTTTTATGAGGGTTGCAAGAGACGTTTTAGTCTCTGCATCGCCCTCTTTTAATCGATTCGCCACCCAGGCAGTTCTCAATTACCCACTCGTGCGAATTAGCCTGCCTGCTTCTACGTAGCAGTAGAAGACTCATTCCAAACCCACTCATCAGCTTACAAGGCTGTGTGGCGTACTTCTTATTCGACTGTGACATGCATAGTACTTTCTTTTGAGTAATTGTTAGCCTTTCTGTCACCATTGGTGTTGGTTAGGCAGGAACACTTGCGCAGCCTGAACGCGTTACTCCAAGTTGTCTTGGTTGCCTCCGTGGCTTCCAAACGTCGTCCGAACTAAGGTTGTCTTTGAAGTCGCCTCAACTGCTGCCTTGGATTTATGGACTCGTATAAATACATCCTACAAGAGCCTCATCCAACCTCTTCCACTACTCCAACCGACGTCATTGCAACTTGGTCGCAAGATGATGGACTTGGGCAAAATGGACTTCGCAACGTTGTTCAAAGGCAACTTCTCCGCCATGGCCGAAAATATGACCGGCGGAAAGTCCTACTCGGGCGACAGCAAGAAGATGATGGAGAGCCTTCTGCCCATGCTGGGTGGCCAGTTCAACCCGGTCGTCAGGTCTCTCATGTTCCTCTACCAGATGATTGGGTCCCATCTGGGCATTGACCCGACGCTCATCCTGACGTTGGCGGGCTTCATCTGGGCCGCGAATAGGGTCGCCCGGCAAGTGTACGGCGCCATCTTCCGAGTCATCCAGGACAACTTTATGAGTTCGATCCACGTCCAGAGCACCGACGAGATCTACGCGCACATGATGAAGTGGCTCGCCCTGCAGCCCCTGATGGCGAGCTCAAGGTCGTTGACTGCGGAGACTGTGAGCAAGACGGCGTGGGAGGAGGAGGAGGAGCTTGAGGCGCTTCAGACGATCAGGATAACAGGTAGCGGCGATGGAGAAGCCGAGTATCTCAACTTTTCTAACCAGGAAGCCAAAGCTGTGAGTTCAAACCGCCCTCCTTGTTGCGCAGCCCGTACTAAAACTGTGTCTAGCTTCCAAGATATGTACCGGCGGTTGGTGTACACGGTTTCTGGTTCAAGGGCCGCTACTTCAGACTACACCGCAAGCAGCAGAATGTCTTCGACGGCCAGGAAGCTTACGGAACGTTTAGGAAAGAGGAAGACCTAATCATCTCCTGTTTCGGCCGGGACCCGGCGCCCATCAAGGAGCTGCTTCGTTTTGTCAAGGAGTTCTTCTACTCAGATCACTATGCCCGCACAACCATCAAACGCCCAAGTCCGCAGCCGATGCGCAGGTACGGAGGCCGCTATAACTGGTCGCAGGTGGCCAACCGCCCCGTCCGCCCCATGCGCACCGTTGTTCTCGACCCCAAGCAGAAGGGCCAAGTTCTCGCCGACATGAACGAGTATCTCCATCCGGCCACCCCTCGCTGGTATGCTAACCGCGGTATCCCCCTGCGTCGCGGATACCTATTCTACGGGCCCCCCGGGACAGGAAAGACGTCGCTGTCCTTTGCGTTGGCTGGTGTCTTTGGCCTGGACATCTTTGTCATCTCCCTGCTTGAACCGACGTTGACGGAAGAAGATCTCGGCACGCTGTTCAACTCCCTTCCCCGTCGTTGCGTCGTCCTGCTGGAGGATATCGACACTGCCGGCCTGAGCCGTGGAGACGAAGAACCTGAAGATGCCAACCCAGAACCCGAGTCCAAAGACGACAAGGACAAAGACGACACCGCCAAGGATGGCGAAAGCACCACCAAAAAGGGAGACCGGCCCAGCAGGAGACAGACAAAAGACGACTGGAAAGTATCAGACCTCGCCCGCGCGCTGAAGAAGGAGGCCAAGGACGATAAGAAGGGCATCTCCCTCTCGGGCCTCCTCAACGCCATCGACGGCGTCGCCTCGCAGGAGGGCCGCATCCTCGTCATGACGACCAACAAGCCCGAGTCGCTCGACGAAGCCCTCATCCGCCCCGGCCGCGTCGACCTTCAGGTCGGCTTCACCAACGCCACCCCGGCGCAGGCGACGGAGCTGTTCCAGCGCATGTACGAGGCCGACGGCGCGGTGCCCGCGAAGCGCGTCGACGGGCACGTCGCGCCGCCATCGCACCCCGGGCCGAGCATCGTAAAGATGAACGGCTCGTCATCCGCCTCTGGGTCTGGGGCATCTACCCCTTCGCCTCTGCGGTCTTCGTTCGCACAGGGCGAGGCTACGGCTGCTACCACTACTGCTCCGATGGCGCAGGAGGCGGAGAAGAAGCGCTTGTTCGATGCGGAGGAGCTGGGTCGGATCGCGGGCGAGTTTGGCGCCCTCATTCCTGACGGACTATTCAGCCCGGCTGAGATCCAGGGGTTCTTGCTGAAGCGTAAGAAGGACCCGCGACGGGCCCTGAAGGAGACGGCGGAGTGGGTTGAGGGGATGCGCCTGCAGAAGGAGAGCAAGACCAAAGTGCTCAAGGTGCAGTGAGACTCAAATACGTTTTATGATGGACGATGGAATCCTGATCCAGCATCAACGTCCCCTAGTCACCGGCTGGTGGACTATCCTCTTACAACAAGTCATTTTTTTCATACTGTTTGATGATGCATGGGCGTAAACAAGGTACTCCCGAGGCATGGTTCGGTTTGAATTGCAGAATGGAAACATCGAATTAGGCAATAATAATTCTGACCCCTTGATATTAGATCGTGTCTTGCGTGTGTCTTGATGTAGGTAGTGATGCGATAAACAGATTCTGGTTGGCTGTCCGATTCGGAAAACTGTTTGATGATGTGCAAGAGACCGAGACTCATTACAACGGCGCAGAGGGGTACGCCCCTTCAGCTTGAGTCTCGTCAATATGGTAACGCGGAGGCTCCACCTGCTCAGGCAGTTCGTCTGCTTCCTCATAGTACGTCTCGTATCCTTCGCCTTCCTCGCCGTACTCATACGTCTCTGCATCGTCGTACTCTTCTTCCGCATGGCCCTCTTCTGCCTCGGCTTCCATGCCAGGACCAGGGGCGAACCCTTCGTCGTCTTGACCGAAGCCATCGTCCTCATCGTCTTCATCCTCAAGACTGTCGTCTCCCGCAAGCGACATGAGTTCGTCCTGAACACCCTGCTCCGCGTCGGGGGTCTCCTCTCCCGCACCCATGGCAGCCGCAGCTGCAACACTCCGAGGCCCGTTAGCTTTCGTGACACGATAAGCAGTTCCTTTTCTCTTCTTTTTGGGCTCCTTGAATCGTCTGCCGTAGAGCACCCGCTTCTCGGCGTCGGTGAGCTCCAGGTCCGGAAGGGGGATGTGCACGCTCGACGACCCGGGCGGCGGAGTCGTGTCGCGGACGTCAAAGATGCCGGCAAAGTCCTCGTCCTTGAGCTTGCGGCCAAACTGGATGGCGATCATCTTGGTCTTCATGATCCCCTTGACCTTCGCCCAAGTGCCCTGGTGGTACCAGCCGCTGTTGTAGATGTCGACCTCTGACCGCTGCGGTGCCGTAGCGAACATCTTGGCGATCAACGGGTCCGTGATGTCGCAAATCTGCCAGACCTTGCCGTCGGTCCAGTAGGACTTCCCGTCAAAGATGTGGCTTTCGTGGTTGTCGCCCTGAGGCTGGCGCTGCTCCGTACGCAGGCTGCGGATGGCGTGCCACGTCTCGCCAATGTGGCCAGCCTGTAGCTTGCGCATATTGAAGATCATGGTCTGGTAGGTTTTGTAGGCCGGGTCGGTGCGCGGGTCGATGCCGTACTTGATGATGGCGTCGCGCCAGGGTCCGCCGCGGAACTGATACCCGACGTAGCCGACGCACCGCTTCATGACGTTGGCATTTCGAACGATGGAGCCGAGTTTATTGAGGAGGGAGCGGCGTGTCCAAATAGGACGTTCCTCCATGGCTTCTTCCATCTTGGCTATGCAGGTGGTCACCTCCTCGTCGGTTCCGTCATATGGCATTTGCGGGCCTGTTGGGATGGGGTACTGATCTGCCTTCAAGAAGTAGCCGATAAGAGTTGGTAGTTGGGTATTAATGAGCTTCGTCTGTCCGGCATGGTCGAGCTCAGATCGTACGTAGGGATTCTGTGAGTAGTTGTAGATGAATGGGAGCGTCATTGGCGTCCATACTGGTGGAGGGATGATATCCACGTTTGGTCCTTTGTCGACGCCGTCAACGAATTGGAAGTTCCTCATTTGAGTAACTGGTATTGGTGTCAGTGTGTTTTCAACATCGCAGACTGCAGAAAGACTCACTGTCACCGGGCATAACCTGATCCATGAATCTCGAAATGAAGGGAGACTCTTTCAGGCTCCAGTGGAAATCTGCCATACCGCGGAACCGGTGAGTGTGCTTGATGACGCCGACGGCCTCCACGTCGTAATTGTCGACATTGTCCTGCATTTTCCGCCGCAGGACCTTCGGATTGTCTAGCCTCGACCTAGAGCAGATCTGCTCTCGTGGTGACCTGGACCGGGGCGCATCGGTCATTTCGACCTCACCTTCCCACGGCCCGTCCGTACCCCTCTTGCGTTTCCTGCCGGTCCGCTTCGGCACAGTCACTTTCAGCACGACATTGTGACTTGTAGCACTGTGTGACATGATTGGCCTGCGGAATGGGCTCTCGGGGTTGAGATAGAAGGGGATTGTATTCCGTTCAGTGTCGAGGATCTGGCAGGCTGTCAGTACCGCCGGGTAGGTTGAATTATCCAGTCATTGCCGAAATATACGCACATTCTGGAACGACGAAATGCTTCCAAAGGCCTTTTCTGCCCTGTCCAGATTCATGACGATCATGGGAATCTCCACGGCACCCATGGACCGTTTGGGGATGGGGAACCGAGGCGCTGAGTTGCTGTCATGTCGATTCTGAGCGGTTGAAGATTCCTCTTGCGGCTCATGCTCATCTTCCTGGACATCTTCTGCGAGCTTGTCATTCTCTGTGCCGTCATTCATGTATTCGTCTTCGGTGTCCATGGTGATGGTTTCCGTGCGGCCGTCTTCTAAGACGCCTTGGTCTTGCGGGCGGTTGCCCAGCCGTTTGCTGTGAGATGATCTTTGATTGGCTGTAGGTGGCCTAGGGTAAAGAAGCAGGTAATCTGACACCGCAAGTCTAAGAGCGACTGGCTGAAGAAGGTGGAGTTGCGACGATTTGCGGATGTCGCCGCGTTGAGCGCAGCGATACGTCGTTTGACTGGAATTTTACCTGCTGTTCTGGGCAACTGAGATTCTCGATTGATGCACGGTGCGAGATGTAGCCCGACCTGAGGCAGGTGCTAGGTGAGTGGCTGTATCGCCGTACAGTGCCCGAACTGTACGGGTAAATTTGCTGAGGATCTCTTCACCAGCATCATGAGGCAGTCATCTGGCGAATCTTTCAAAGCGATTGTATGCCTGCCAATTATGAGCCAGGATGACAAAAAATTAGCTACAGAAGAGACAATGCTGCAATACTACAATGCACAGATTGGATGAGAACAGGACAGGCTGTGTTCGTAAATCTGTGATTGACATACACAGATAAGGTATGGTATGCACGCGACTCTATCTCATCCGGATTCACTAGTGACTCTTGTTCCAGCAAGACACAGTATCAGAGGAATGGAGACTGGCGCATTCGTGTTTCAGAATTCTCAGCAGATCAAGTCGTCCCATGTTGAACCCGTTCCCGAAGCCCTGGGACGCTCCTGTTCTGTGATAGCTTGGACCCAGGGTGATGTGATGATGCCCACATTGTTTGGGGGCATTGAGCCCAAAGAAGGCCCTTGCAGCGGCTGCCAGGGACCTGCAGCAATCAAAATACAGTGCGTATGTTCATTGGTACGGTACAAGCAACGGCTGTGTCTGAGTGTTCGCTGCTGAGGTAAGGTTTGAGGTAAGGTCACAGGCATTCCTTGTTTTAGTCGAGTGTAAATTTTTTTTTTTTTTTTTTTTTTTTTTGGAAAAAAACCCTCNTTTTTTTTTTTTTTTTTTTTTTTTTGGAATAAAGCCATCTCCTGATGAACATTCACTTCAAAATACCTAAGTGATGACTGAGTGAAGTCAGTAAACATCGGCCCTGCAGCTGCATTGTGCCGTCTGGAGATGCAGGTTTGCTGTGTAGGTATGGAGATCACATGTGGGGGCCAAGAATCCCAGGCCGAACCTCGATCTGGACGGGACGGGAGGGCAGAAACCTCCCGGATAAACCCTCCTGCCGACAAAAGAAATTGAGCTCCAGGGTCCAGCTTCGCTCGTCCAGTCGCAGACAGCGAATGTCGACAGGCAATCCACACCAATGTCGAGGAGAGAGGCAGGAGCATGGAGGGGTCGCGGGCCTTATCTTACCTAAGACGCTCAACAGCCAATCAAAAGCTGTGGTATTCGCTGATCGGGCCCGTGCAGAGGTCACGGTCGCAGTCAGGTCCCTTCCAGAGGTGCAATGCAAGTGCCAGAACCAGTGGCCGTGCCAGTGCCAGTCAGCGAGGTGCCATCCGTCAACACCCCCTTTCCCCATCCGTCCCTCCTTGGCTCCCGTTGCCTGCCCGCGTGCTGCTTGCTGTTGAGGTACTGCGTGCCGTACCTTGCCTCACCGCACTGCTAGTGTCCGGGTTGAGGTGCTGGCAGCTGCTTGATCGACTTGCAGCGAGTGCCCTGTAAATTGTAGGTGTTGTGTCCTCCTGTCGAGCCATGAAAGATGGGCGTTACAGAGCCCACTGTCGTTCCACACCCGCCCACTTCAAGGCACACTTCAGCAGCTCCCACCGGTGTGCTGCTGTCGGGTCCGCTCCTGCAGTTGGGATCCCTCCTGGAGGTTGGAGCACCTGTCCCGGGCTTGACCAGTGTTGATGCAGAACCTTCCTTGGAAGGAACCTCTTCACAGCCTCGACCTCTCCACTCAACCACCTCGTCATACTGGACCTTACCTAGGTAGGCGCCTTACCTACCTAACTCCTTGGGTACGGTAGCTGAGGTGTTGACAGTTGTGGTGTGGTGTGGTGTGTGTTTGTGGGTGTTGTTGTGCGTCTCTCACCTCTCCAACTCGCCTCCGGCGACTGCGTACCTACTACCTACCTTACCTTTGACAACACTCTCCAATCTACAACTCTCGTCCATTGACTTGACCGCTCGAGTATTCTTACATCTGCATCGACGCCTCCTCTCTCTCGTCTTGCTTTCGGGCGTCAATCTGTAAGGTATTGCTCTCACCCTGTCCATCATCTCTGGCCACCAGCCCGCCCCCCAACCAACCAGCCGACCCCCGGCGTCGAGGCCTGTTCCTGGCTGGCCGCCGCGCATCACTGGACCGTCCGTCTCCAGCTGTCGAGTCCTCTGCTGGGCGACGTGCTCTGGGCCGGACAACCCTCTGGCCATACCATACCGTGCCTTGCCGTACCGTGCCTCGTCGACCTTACCTTAATATTTCACCGCCGCCGCTAGCACGTTAGGGGAGACCGGCTGCTGGTCCCGCGTCGTCGTCTCACACTTCACACCTGGGCCCCGCAAACAACTTCAGCTTTACCGACGATCCAGAGCATCCCCCAACTTCGTCGCTTCTTGTCCAGAACATCTGGCTTTCTTCCTTTCGCTGCCCGATCATTTCTTCTTCCGCCGTTTTTTTGATGGGGCATAACCTCGTCGCAACGATCTCTCTCTCCAATCCGCTCCCCTAGCTGCTTCCCCTTGTCTGCCCATCACGAAGCGACGCTATCCTGACAACCCAACCCCAGCCCTTTCGCGAGCGACCGCCCTCCTTCATCGTCTCGTCGACATCGATCTGCCGACGCGCTTGCTACAACCCCAAACTCGCCCTTAGCTGAGACCCACGCACGCTCCGTTCGCCGCGCATCATCGAAGCCATCTCGAGACCGAGGCTGCGATAGCCCTTCGATTCCTTCGTCTTTGCATTCCATTTCGACGTCAAACAATTGACTCGATCCGGCCGATTCCAAAATCACCCCTGCTTACCACTACCGACGCCGACCATCCTGCGCCCGCAGCATATATCCTTCTCTGCCTTGGACCTCCGTCCACTGCGATTCACTGCTGCTCGCTACATTAGCTGAAGAGTCGGGCGATTCTGTCGCCCCACCGAGAGGGACTTCATCGTGACGTCCAAAATGAAGCGCTTCAGCCAGAGGGTGGTAAGTCACCGTTGCTACCCGGCCCCTGAGTCTCATCATCATACTGGACACCCTATTGACGTCCCAGCATGCCCAGCTCTCGCGCGGCAAAGACAAAGACCCCAATAAGCCCAAGAAGAACAAGGATTCCAAAGATGGGACTGCATCCCCCTCGTCGGTCGGCTCAGGCCGCGATGCAAACCAGTCGCCTAACCCGACTCCTTCATCCTCGACGACAAACCTCTCCGATTCCCGCAATAAGCCGCTGCCGCCTAACAACACCGGCGCCCACGGCGGAGAACCGAACCAGCCGTCGCCATTGAGCAACCAGCAAGGTGCTGCCCCGGATCGCTTTGGCTCCACGGGAGCGGCCCAAAGTGCTAACGGTGGAGGTTCTCCAGCTCGTCATGGCACCCTACCGCCAACCGTCATCATCAGCCCCAGCGCTCCTGTAAGTTCTCAACCGGCACTGCTCATTCAAAGCTGTTGCTAATCTATCTCCAGCACGTCCCGCCCCCTGGTGCTGCCGAAACCATGCCACACGATCTCGCGCCTCCGAAAGCGGGCACCAAGTCGCTCATGTTCGATCGCCTCCACCAGACGCCCAAGGACGTGCCCGAGGGCCTCAGAACACCCAAGCGACAGCACTCGTCGAGATTCGATATCTCTGCTCACCGCGAGCTGGAGAAGCTGCCTGGATTCCACGAAGTTCCCCCCAACCGACGCCAAGAGCTCTTCATGCAGAAGATTGACCAGTGCAACGTCATTTTTGACTTCAATGATGCCAGTGGTGACATGAAATCCAAGGAGATCAAGCGACTCGCCCTCCACGAACTGCTCGACTACGTCGCTAATAACCGTCAAGTCATTACGGAGCCAATGTACCCTAGAGTTGTCGAAATGTTCGCCAAGAATCTCTTCCGACCCATCCCGCCCCCGATGAACCCCCAAGGAGAAGCTTTCGATCCGGAGGAGGACGAACCCGTCTTGGAGGTTGCTTGGCCGCACATTCAGGTTGTCTACGAGTTCTTCCTGCGCTTTATCGAAAGCCAGGACTTCAACACCAACATTGCCAAGGCGTACATTGACCATAGCTTCGTGCTGCAGCTGCTGGAGCTCTTTGACTCGGAGGACCCGCGCGAGAGAGATTTCCTCAAGACGACGCTTCACCGTATCTATGGCAAGTTCCTGAACCTGAGATCGTTCATCCGTCGCTCCATCAACAACGTATTCTTCCAGTTCACATACGAAACGGAGAGGTTCAACGGTATTGCTGAATTGTTGGAAATTCTGGGCTCTATCATCAACGGTTTCGCTCTGCCGCTGAAGGAGGAGCATAAGACCTTCTTGACGCGGGTATTGATACCTTTGCACAAGGTGAAGAGTCTCAGCATGTACCACCCTCAGCTGGCGTACTGCATTGTCCAGTTCCTTGAGAAAGATGCATCTCTCACAGAGGAGGCAAGTTTTGGATCCGAGGCTTCGCATAGTTTTGTGCTAACCGAACCAGGTTGTCCTCGGACTGCTCCGCTACTGGCCCAAGGTCAACAGCACAAAAGAGGTTATGTTCCTTAACGAGGTCGAAGACATTTTCGAAGTCATGGACCCGGCTGAATTCGCCAAGGTTCAGGAGCCTCTTTTCCACCAGCTGGCCAAGTCGGTTGCTAGCCCCCATTTCCAGGTTGCTGAGCGTGCTCTTTACTTCTGGAACAATGAGTACTTCTGCAACTTGGTCAGTGACAACGTTGAGATTATCCTGCCCATCATGTTTGCGCCTCTATACGAGAACTCCAAGGGACACTGGAACCGGTGAGTATTATTACAGAGTGCAAGCGCGACTAGTACTAACTAATTTCTGCAGTACGATTCACGGCATGGTTTATAACGCCATGAAGCTGTTCATGGAGATCAACCCTCAATTGTTCGACGACTGCTCCCACGATTATACCGAGCAGCAAAACAGCGCCGCAGCCAGAGAGGCCCTCCGTGAAAGAAAGTGGGCGTCAATCACCGACCAGGCCAACCAGAGACGGTCAGCCAACGGTGCGGGCGCTCCGACATCAGGTAGAGCACACGCTGGCTCCCTTTCTCGCGTTGATGAAGTCGACGGAACCGAAGACAATCAGAAGCGATTAGACTCTCTCAAGCTGCAAGATGGCGACCGCAGGGAACGTCGGCATGAGCAACAAGACTCGGTAGGATCAACCCGAAGCGAAAAATGATGTTACCCTGTTGCCATTACCCGCCTCTGTCTGGTTGTCAACCTGCGCTTGAGGATTCTCAATACCCTTTGAAACTTTGTTTTGCTATTTTTACAAAACTCACCCTATCCTGTTCCTCGATATTGTCTTGCATCCCGCTCTAATTGCCGAATTTCAATGCTTGTTGGAATGTTTGATTGACCAGTGTCCGATATAGGCCCAGGAACAAAACGGCGAGGAGAAAGCCGAGGCGACTGAGGAGTCATGACCTACCTTGACATTATCACCGAATGATTTGCCTTCAACGGGTTGAAGGACTCCAAACGGGAACATCATGCATGCGCTTAGGAATTCAGAGGATAACCGCCGGGTACGCTTCGGGTCAGGAGAGAGTGGACCACAAGCTCTAGTAGGGATGGGGCTTCGCTGCCCTCGGAACATACTTAATTTTCATGATGTCACTTTTATGTTTCCTTTCTCCTCGGCAAAGACTCAGACCTGAGCGGGACTTTTTGACTACTGGCATTGAGCCGCCCGTCCGCTGTTTAGCTGTCGAGGTGAAAAGAAACGCGGGACTCTTCTTTACTTTTTTCTACGCGGGAGGACACAAAAACGTATTTTGTCGGAAGAGGGTGACGGGGGACAGGCAAGAGTGGGTGGAAGAAAGACGGGGTGCCCCGGCGTACAGAGGCGAAACTCGGGAGACAAGCTCCTTTTTTCTTTCTGCGGCTCTCTCGGATGAACTTGACAAGAAAGTTGCGCCAGAGTGGGCGTGAGGAATGAGGGTTTTCCTCCTTGGTTTCTACCTTAGACGATGAATGAGTACAGACGTCAGACGTCACATTTAGACTTGGGTACGCTGATGGAGGTTGGACGAGCGGCTTCGTGATTGACATTATACATTGCCTTACTACTACTGGTCTAATCTACAGTTGTCCAAGAGCAGAGGGAACTTTACCACCCGCCTCCTCTGCCTCTGTTATAGCCTCCCCTGCCGCGACCTCTGTACCCACCACCGCCGCGTCCATACTGCGGCTGTTGCTGGTATAGGTTGTGTTGTTGCGGCGGCGGCGGCGGAGGAGCGGGTGCCACCCATCCGCCCATGTGTGGTGGAGGCGGCGGTAGACCGGCACCAGGTGGCGGAGCACCCCAATTCTGCGGAGGCCCGCTCATATAGCCTACAGTGGGAGGATGAGTAGGTGGAGGAGGAGGTGGCCATGCTCCTTGGAAGCCTTGAGGCGGCGGAGGGGGTGGTGGGAAGTGTCCGAACCCCCCGGCCGCGTTTGGAGGAGGTGGGGGGTACGGTTGGAAGGCGGGAGGACTGTGGTGATTAGGGGGAGGAGGCGGCGGCGGCTGCGGCTGGTTGTAGCCCTGGCCAGACTCGTCGTTGTACCGGCCGCGGCCGTGGGCTGGAAGTGGTGACCTGCTCGAGTCGCCGCGGCCTCTTCTCCCACCTACTCGCTCACGAGATCGGGATCGTGATCTGTAGGGGCTCCGCGACCGGGAACGTGACCTTGACCTTGATCGGCTGTAGTCTCTGGAGTCGTAACGGCCCTTGCGTGGAGGGCTCTGGCGCCGATCGCGGCTGGGGCTTCGGCTGCGGCTGGGGCTCCGGCTTCTAGAATCCGGCGAGAGCCTGCGCCTCTTGAACGCGGGGGGCGAGTCGCTTCTACTCGACCGGCCAGGAGAAAAGCTGCGGGAGCGGCTTCGCGAGCTGGATCGGCCACGGCTGCGTCTGTCGCCTCCTGGCTTTCCCTTGCGCCGCTTCATCTTCTCGCAGAAGTTGCGCGACCAGCCGTAGTATGTCTCTCCCCCAATGACCTCGCCCGTGATCTCGTCGAGGATGACGCGCTCGCCCATCTCGCTCAGGTCTGTGGACTGCTGGTCTGGTTGCTGGGTAGCCGCCGACTTGGAGTATAGTCTCTCGACGTCCGCGAGAAGGTCCTTGACGGCCTTGGCGAGAGCCTTGTCCGCGGGGCCTGGCGCGAGCCGGAGCGGCTTGATCATGCTGGGGTTCATGGGCTTCGTAGAGTTTGGCTCAAGGTGCGGGAGCCAGTTAGCAGCTGGAAGGTCGAACCAAGGCGTGTTAGGGTCTCCGTGCATCGAGGGAATCATGTAGGGCGCGTCCTTTGCAGGTTTGACAGCGAGGTTCGACCCTGTCTGGTCGTTCGCGCTCTCGCTCTCGGCAGCCTTGGTGACTTTACCGCCATGGGGGGCTTCCTTCACCGTCTCCCTCAAGTCTGCGATCGTGTGCGTCGAGAAGTACTTTTGCTGGTCCCAGAGCGACAGGAGATCGTCCAGCTTGCGCATGTGTTTCGGGCAGTTACGGAAGCTGGCGGCAGCGTGAAAGAGCGGCGGGAGGCTGGGCTGGAGGTCCGTCGCGAGGCGTGTGTCTCTGTCCCGCACGACGGCGTGGTAGAGAACGTCGTTGAGGATGTAGAGAATGTGCAGACGCTTGCGCCTGGAGGAGGGCTTCGTCTTGTTCTTCGCAGCACCAGCGGCGGCGGCGGCGGCGGCGGTAGCATCATCGCCTGGGAAGGATTTGGAGAGGGCGGCCAGGTATTTGCCAAGAGCGGCGACGCGCGCCGGCGAGGGCGCCAGATTCTTCAGGATCCATCGCTTGCATTTCTAGAGGAGGCAGCAGGAGTTTAGTTGACCTGCGACATGTAGACACGACGGAAACGGCTATGTTTGTGGCAAGAAACACGTAGAAGAGAAGAAAATGGCGCGGAGAGAGAGGCCGTTTCAAGAGGGCATCAAACCTGAACGTGGGCGGGCGAGCACTGGTGTATCGCATCGTGAAGTAGGGTGTGGAACGTCTCGATCTCCGGCCTCGTGAGGGAGACGGGCTCTTTGCGGAAGAGAAGGGCGCTGAAGGAGGCCTTTGCTATTGCCAGCTCGGGTGTTGCCATTGCGCTTTGATTCGCATGCCTGCCGGCGCGCAGGTAGGTGAGCAGCGAACGTGTTGTTGTGAGGGGGTGAGTGGTGGTGTTGGGGATGTTGAAGTTGAAGCTACGAAGTAGGAGCTGTCAGAAAAGAGCTGAAAGCTTCATGCCAGCCAGGAACACAAAGCTGAATGCGCCGCCGCAGGGCGTAAAACTGTGGCTTAGATCCAGCTGGTGGATTGAGTCGGCTAGACGTCGGGGTTCAGCGCGGCTTCTTCCGCAAAGGTGCTGGGGGACCCAGGCCGCCCAGTGCGGATTGCCACGAGGTCACTATCTTAGCGGGCAGCCCTCCGGCTACCCTTGAAGCCAAGATGCGGTATCGTCTGCGGCCGGAGCGTGCGCCGTGATTGCGGAGGGATCATGGAGGCGTACTATTGCGACAGGCCATCGAGGGGCAAGTATCTACTTATTCACCCAATTGACGGAGCGGTTTTGCTGGTTTGAAGCTGTTCGTGCAGCTGAGGCCTCTCGCTTGTGTTGGTGTTGGACAGAACCACCGCTGACGTAGGGCTAGTGTCCAATGATTCATTGACAATCTGCCTATCATGGCCACGTCCAAAAGACGCTGTTGCTAAATATACAGAAACGACCGCCGTGGCCTCCCTTCAAAATACAATAGTCCAGAGGTGAATTGGTAGAGAGGCGTAAATTCTTCCGTGTCGTGCTCAATGATACAAGGCGCGGCCATAACCGACCGGGGTGTTAATTATACTACACAGACTCGGGTTCGATCGGGCTGCTTCCACCGCCAAACGTTTCGCGCCATTACGAAAAGCGATCTCCCTTTGGACTCTTGAACGGCGTACTACTCTCGTATTTGCTCTTCTCCAATATTCTTTGTTGTTCCGTGGTCGGGGCATGGCGGGTCGGGGCGGGATCGGAGCTGGACTCCTGGCTCGGCGAGCCGGCGGCATCGGTGCGCGGCTCTCCGCCCATAGTGGATGCGGAACCGGGCTGGCTGGGGACGTTGTCGCCGTATTCCATGGACTGGGCCATCTGCTTACGCTTGCGCTGCTCTTCAAAGCGGGCTGCGCGGTCGGCGTTGATGCTCTGCTTGGCGAAGTAGTAGGCCGTTCCGCCGGCTACATAAGTTGGCGTGTTAGCTACGGTACGAAGGCCAAGGCATGCTCAAATGACCACGTACCAACACAGAGAGAGCCCCATCCAAGCCTGCAAAACACAGAGTGAGAAGGTCAGCGTGACGGACGACGAGAGATGGTTTGCGACGAGTCAAGCGTACCAGAACGATTTGACCTGGGATCAGGCATGATGTTAGCCAGAGACTTGAAACCATGTGCGACGGATAGGCTGCAACTTACGGTGTTCATGTTTGCGGCAGAATATGGGGTGGACGATCAACTGGACAGATCTTGTCGCAGGGCTGAAGGGTTGGCAGGCTTGTCTCGAACGCAATGGGAGGCAGCGAGCGAGAGAGGGAAAAAAAAGTTGCGCCGTTCGGAGTTGTTTGAATGGAAGATCTAAACCTGGTCAATCGGAGCAGTTGTCCAACAGTCAGCACGCACTGTGGTAAAGTGGGATGGTCTGATAATGGAGCTCCCCGATTGCTTGGCCTGGAGCCGTGCACGCGATTTGTGGACCCCGAGCCAGAGCACAGGAAGACGACTGCAGTGTGAGGTGGTCGTTGCTCCCAATCGAGTTTAGCCGGCTTGAGGCGGTTGAGCCACAAGGTACGTGCTCTTCTTGGAAGCAGCACGTAGTCACATTAGGTAAGCACCCTACGAACAGTCGTGCCTCACCAACGTTGAAGGGGGAGAGAAGCTAGGTAGAAAGAGGATGGCGGATGGACAGCTGGGCCGAAGGAGGAGGGCAGTGATGTACAGGGGCCGCAGTGTTTACAGCGAGCGGCAGATCAGGCAGTCTGGCGGGTGTTCAGCGGGTAGGCCTAATTTCGGAACAATTAGCGTCCAGGTCCTGTCTCCCCATGCCCGTCCATTGGGTGTACGGTACTTGGTGCCTATGCAGTGTGTGCAGCATGTACGAAGTACCTACTTCGGGTCTGGTCTTGGGCAGATTCACTCAGGAACCAAGCCAGTGAACCCCGGGAAGCATGCATCCTCTCCCCCAATTCCATCCCCCTCCCCCAACCTTCTCGCAATTACTGGAACCCAGCAAGGTCAGGTACTTGGCGCGGAGGTACCTTGTCCAAGTACTATCCGTATGAGCGCTCAAATTACCTGACATCTCTTGGAAAGCAAAGTCGAATAGGGCCCGCAGGTGGCTCTGGACGACCCTTGTTAGTACTGCATATTAGTACTCGCCGAGGGCTGGGAGGAGCTGGAGGGCTGTGGCAGACGACAGCCCAAAGAGGGACGGAGACTCGGCTTGGCAGGGCCATATGTCATTATGGATATTGCTACCCTAGATAGGACAGCGGGCACGGCGTACGTAGTGTACCTGACGTCGCCGTCGTAATTGAGGGCGGTGTTTGGATGGCGACGTCTCCAAAGGTCCCTCAAACCTTACGTACATGCCACCACGTACCTCCCGGCACCCGCGCAGAAGCCACTCGAGCGTGCGTGTTGTATTGTATCCGTATGTAGGTAGGTAGGTAGGCACATCCATCCATCGGTAAATAGGTACCTGCGCGGTTGTACCTGACGGTAAGGTACAGAGAGGTAGGCCAGCCGGTTGCCTGCGAGCAAGGTGCACCGCACCACACCCCAACCCGCACACACTACCTTACTCCATCCACAGTCCACCACGGTGCCGTCCCAGCAAAACGGCTGGGAATCTTATTGCTCCAAGGGGCCTTTGCAATGCCACTTCGTTGTCAATCATAACTTTACCACGGATACTACTGCCGCTACCTCGACTCAACCACCACCACCACAACAGGAAAAAAAAAACATTCTGCCCTCCGTACCCTCTCGCGTCTGCTCCTGATCCACTGCGATTCTGACCATACATCTATGGCCATGCCCGCCTGCACGTCGAGGTAGCTTCGAAACGTCCGCCCAGCATCATTATGCTCCCCAGCCCTCTTGCACGGCCGTCCATCCCACTTCTCAGAATCCCTCCGAACAGCCACGCGCATCAAACTATCGTCTTCGCTGACATACCCTCACGATCCTCAATCCCCGTCCGACAACGTCGACACCATCCCTTGACGAATTAAGACCGCCAGACTCGCCTTGTCCTAGCCCGCCGTTGATGGGCTCATGAAGATTCGTTTGAAGACGTGGGTGTAATGGGTATCAGCACCCTGAGCCCCGCCGTCCAGCTCAACTGTCATCATGCCTCCCCCCGATCAAAACGGGCCTGATGGCTCATCACTTGTTCGTTCCCCAAGCCGACAAGACCCCCTCTGACTTTGTGACTGACATGGCTGGCAGAAACCCGTCTCCTCCCTAAGAGCCAAGTTCGAGAACATGAACAAGGGCGAACCTGCGCCTGCACCTGCCCCCGCGCCTGTCCTTCCGTCGGGCCCTTCTCCGCCTCGAACAATCTCACCGGGCCCGAAGCCTGAGTTCCTTCGAGATGCAGCCAAGTCTACCGAAAGCCTTCCGATACCCCCGAGACCGAGAGAACGTGGCAGCATCTCGACACCGTCTCTTCCTCCTCCGCTGCACGAGCCTGTCCCTCGATCGCCGGGCCGCTCCCTGGGCATACCTCCCACTTTGAAGCCGGAGCCCGTGAAAGCCCCCTCCGTCATGGTAGAGCCTCCTCAATCTCCTCCGAAGAACTCTGTTTCCAGATTCGCGCCTGCCGAGACCCCGGCTTTCTTGAACGCTGAGTCCGGCGCATCAACTCCGACAACTCCCACTACCGCGCGGCAGTTCAAGATCCCGAGTCGGCCCCATACCCCCTCTCTCGAACCGAATCGGCGCAGCCCAAGGCTGTCGGCCTCCCAACCGCCCTCTCCCCCGCCCCCGAGAAGGTCTGGCGAGATTCGCAGAGACAACAGACCCGCCGTCCCGCCGCCTATCAACCGTGCTGAAAAGCCGTCAATGCAGTCTCAGCCGAGGCCCTCGTTTTTCGCTGATCATGTTGTAACCGCCAATAGACACAAGCTGAAGCCGGAGACCTCTCCGTTCAGCAGCCCGCCTAGTAGCCCCGAACCGGCACCCCCGGTGCTTCCTACGAGGCCAAAGGCGCCTGCCACGCATTCGGATCCGCCGCCTCAACAGCAACGGGGAAGGACACTGGATGTTGGATTTGCACCTCCGCCTGTACATCACTCGATCATGACGAAGAGAAACCAGCGGGACCAGGAAACGAATGGATTTGTAAAGGGCCAAATCACGCCTCAAATTACTGGCGAGACCCGTCCTTCCGTACCAGCGCTCCCCGCGAGACCGCATACGACCGCCGAGCCACCACCACGGCCCCTTTCTATGACCATGAAGCCGCCCCCACGACCCCCAAGGCCTGGTGTCAACACAAATCCAGTCTCCGAGGCTCAACCACCGCCCAAACGTATTGTTTCGACCCCCACAACCCATCTTCCGCCACCTACCCGGTTGCCTGGACGTGCCAATACGGTGACTGACAGAACATCAGAGAGGACCACGCCTCGCCCGCCGCCACCACAACCTCCCATCTCGCACCCTCCTCAACCCGTGCAACACCCATCGCCGCCGCCGCCGCCAGCCGAGACGACGACTGCTCTCATCCCATCGAGCAATCATTCAAAGGTTGATGTCAACGGCTCGAGCCAGTCCTTCCCGGATCCTTCCAACGTCAACCGGAGACCCCCCTATATCAAGCAAGGTATGCACGAAATCCAGACCAAGTACGATCCCAGAACATTCGACGTTTGCGGCGACCTGGTTTGCACCACTGGCCACTTGACCCGAGTTTGGAGTTTGCGGGATGGTGAACTCCTTATGAGCTTTGCCCACGGCGAGGGCATCAAGGCCACAGCAGTGGCGTTCAAACCTGGTAATAATGTGGATGAGGAAGGCGAACGCCTATGGATTGGTAACAACTTTGGCGAGCTAATGGAGGCCGACATTGCGACGCAAAGTGTGATTGCAAATAAGCCGAGTGCCCATGGCCGTCATGAAGTCATCAAAATTTACCGCCACTTCAACGAACTGTGGACACTGGATGAGACGGGCGGACTTCTCGTTTGGGGTCCGGATGAGACCAGCACGCCAAATTTGACGAATAACTCACACCAAGCATTCCGACTACCGAAAGGCCACACGTTCTCGATGATAATTGGGGACGAGCTGTGGCATGCGACTGGGAAGGAAATTCGGGTGTTTGCTCCCAGTACAGATGGGCAGACCCAGTTCCAAGTTCTTGTGAGGCCTATGATGCAGGATACCGCTGGAGAAGTTACCTCCGGATGCCAAGTCCGGTCGCAACCTGGCAAGGCCTTCTTTGGTCATGCGGATGGCAAGGTTTCGATTTACAATACGCAAGACTTCGCTTGTCTCGGGATTATCAACCTGAGCTCTTGGAAGATCAACTCCATCGCAGGTGTTGGTGATTATTTGTGGGCGGGATTCAACACAGGTAAAGTCTGTGTTTACGACATGGCGACAACACCGTGGTCTGTCAAGAAAGACTGGCAGGCCCACGACAAGAACCCAGTTGTGAAGCTCGTTTCGGACGCTTCCAGCGCTTACCGAATGGATCGTCACCAGGTAATATCTCTCGGTGCAGACAACGTGCTTCGCACTTGGGACGGCCTGCTGCAGGATGACTGGCACGAGACGGAAATGAAGGGCATGGACACCCAGTACTGCGAGTTCCAAGATCTCAAGGTGCTATGTATGACCTGGAACGCCGGTGCATCTACGCCTCACAGTCTTCGATACGCTGAAGAGGACGCGGAATTCATCAAGAGTCTGTTACAAGCAAATAGCTCACCCGATATCCTGGTTTTCGGGTTCCAGGAGCTAGTTGACTTGGAGGACAAAACCGCCACAGCCAGTAAGTCAGAACCTTGCCGTTCGACGAAACTTTGTTAACATTTCCCAGAACGTTTCTTGAAGGTCAAGAAGAAAGAGGGATCAGACCAGGAGCGAATGAGCCATCAATACCGCGACTGGAGAGACTTCTTGCTGAAAAGCCTCGATGATTACATGCCGCATGATTGTCTATACCACCTGCTGCACACTGCCACTCTTGTTGGTCTGTTCACCTGCATTTTTGTCAAGTCGACGCTTAGAGATCGCGTTCGAAACTTGAGCGCATCGGAGGTCAAGCGTGGCATGGGCGGCCTCCACGGCAACAAAGGTGCCATTGTTGTCCGTTTTATGGTCGACGACTCCTCACTTTGCTTCATCAATTGTCATTTGGCAGCGGGTCAATCACAGGCCAACAGTCGTCACAACGATGTGGCGGCCATTCTCGAAGCGCAAATTCTCCCCCCTGAGCGAGACCCTAATATGCGTCTGGACAGCTTCGTTGGTGGTGGAGACGGCACTATGATCTTGGATCATGAGCTCTGCCTCCTGAACGGTGATCTCAACTACCGCATCGACACGATGTCGCGCGATACTGTGGTTATTGCTGTTAAACAAAATAACTTGGCCAAGCTACTCGAGCGAGATCAGCTCCTTGTAGCAAAGAGACGGAACCCAGCCTTCAAGCTCCGCGCATTTGACGAGATGCCAATCACCTTTGCACCTACGTACAAGTATGATGTCGGCACAGACAACTACGACACTAGTGAGAAGAAGCGCTCGCCAGCCTGGTGCGATCGATTACTGTACCGCGGAGGAGGCAGGATAAAGCAAATTGACTACAAGCGCCACGAGGTCCGCGTATCCGATCATAGACCTGTCACCGGACGATTCAAGTTCACGGTTAAGAAGGTCCAGCCAAAGGCGCGAGCCATGGCGTGGGTAGATTGCGTGTCGAGGTTTGAAGACCTGCGACTGCGCGAACTCAATGATGACAAGTGGGTCCCTGTTTTCCCGCCGATAACAGACGCTTTGCTAATAGACGTAGGATATCCTATCTGACGACTGTTATTGGTTACGACGCCGCCACTGCTCAAAGCATTCTCAACCCGCAGAGCGAGGCATGAATACACCCTTGCAAATTTCACTACGGACCACAGCTTTCAACCGCAGGCTACATGATTGATATGCGGTAGGCATGGTTGATGGACAACTCTCTGGATGCGAGTTACGAATGGAGGGGTTTTACGACCGGGGGCAGGCAAAAGGTTACGAAGACGGATAGCATGACACACGTTTTGAACGTCCAACAACGAATTGGCATTTGAATGGCGCAGTTTAGACAGAGAAAGATATTGGGATTCGTTTACCCACGACGCAAGGGGGAGGAAGACATACACCTATCCAGCCCCCCAAAACATTTCTAGCCTTCTATGGAGGCATCTGGGTTGTATGCTTTTTTTTTTTTTTTTGACGAACGAACAACGTGTGCTGGTCACCGAGTAGAGGGACCAACGACGATCTGGAAGGATAATAGGAGAAAAGAAAGAGAGAGAGAGAGACACCCATGAATGCAACTACATCTTGTAGAGAGCAAAATTGCATTGAGAACGGTGAAGAGGTGCATATCTAGGCAACTGGCATGTGCTAGGGAATGCAAGGCCATGCAGGATGCGTCTCCTCTCTTACCGCCCCTGCAGCACCGCCCGATGCGCGCGCGAGTCACGGCAAGCCAATACGACTGTGCCTTGCATTTTGCGCTTGACTGACGTAGATGCTGCATGGCTGGCGGCGAAAATGTTCCCGTTACCCACGTCGCCCAGCCGTTCGCTCGTTGATTTACGATTTACAGAGCTCTCTAGATCGATCAACTTGCCTGGTGTGGGTGGTGGTGTGGTTCATGCAAGCACAGTGAAAGTCACTCGAGTATCCGTTGACACTTATATGGCCCCAATCAAAATATGTATTAACCCCTTTCTCAGGGGCTTTCAAGTCTATAAACCATATCTCTCTCTCAAAGTGTGAAGGACTCGCACCATGTCGTTGGGAAGTGAATGACTACAATTCTAGCATTGCGTGCTGTTGGGCCATGTTTTTCTTGTTAGGTCTGTGACAAAAAAATCTGAAAAATCTCAACTCGTGCCGTCTATGTTTTTTTCCCTTTGCTTTTCGCCGTCCAAATCTTTTTTGTTCGTTTCTTATTCGCCGCCGTGGGCAGTAGCTTTGAAGAAATAGAAATGACTTTTTGGGTCTGCGCGCTTCTTGCTCAGATCTCGAGGAGAGCCTTGGCACCGGGCTCGCTGCAGACGTAGATGACGTCGTGGTCGTCGGTGAAGCCGTTGAAGCGGGTGGCGGAGCACTTTGTGTAGGCACCCATGTCCTCAAAGTACAGCCAGTCGCCGACGTCGAGCTCGTGCTCAAAGGAGATGGTCTCGGTGATGCGGTCGATGCCGTCGCAGGTGGGGCCCCAGACGGAGTAGCGGACGCCCTCGCCGTCGGGGCAGGCGTTGGCGGAGGGGCAGTCGTAGACGGTGGCGGGGCCGGCGCGCAGGACCTTGGCGACGGGGTGCTGGTGGTCGAACATGATGCTGGAGAAGTTGCCGTAGAGGCCGTCGTTGACGTAGAGCATGTACCGCTTCTCGTTCAAGGAGGGCTCGTCGACGGTGCGGCGGGCGATGATGTTGCAGGCGATGGTGAAGGCGGCGGAGACGTAGTAGCGGCCCGGCTCGGCGATGATGTTGACGTTGCTGGAGGCCGGGAAGTACTCGTCGAGGGCGCCGCGCAGGACGGCGGCCATGTCCTCGAAGGTGTCGCCGCAGAAGCCGCCGCCGATGTCGAGCGTCTTCATGTCGAAGCCGTAGGCGCGGCCCTGCTCAAAGACCTCGTAGGCGTCGTAGACGGCCTTGTAGAAGGCCATGGGATCGGAGGCGCCGGAGCCGACGTGGAAGCTCACGCCGACGACGTTGAGGCCGAGGTCCTTGGCGGTGGCGAGGAGCTCGTTGGTGTCCTCCTTGGCGGCGCCGAACTTCATGCTGAGGCGGCACAGGCTGGACTCGTCGTCGGTCATGATGCGCAGGTAGAGCTCTGCCTCGGGGAAGAGCTTGGCGACCTTGCGCAGCTCGTCGGCGTTGTCAAAGGTCATCTGCTTGACGCCCATGGCCTTGACGTAACGGACGTACGAGTTGGTCTTGCAGGGCTGGGCGTAGATGATGCGCTCAGGGGCGACGGTGCCCATGTTGAGGACCTGGTCGATCTCGGTCTTTGAGGCGCAGTCGAAGCCGGTGCCGAGGGCAGCGAGGAGCTGGAGGACCTTGGGGTCCGGGTTGCACTTGACGGCGTAGAAAGGCTTGACGCGGGGCAGGTTGAGCTTCCAGCGCATGTGCTGGCGGTAGACCTCGCCTAGATCACCGACGAAGAAGGTGTCTTCGTCGCCGGGCTCACAAATCTCATGGTCGATGCTCTCGACGCGCTGGCGGAGAGCATCGCCAATCAGCTGCTTGGGGTTGATCACGCCATTGGGTTTGTTGTGATGGGCGTGTTCGACATAATGCGACGTCTTTAAGACGGGTTGGTGGTAGGTACTAGCAAAATTGATAGTAGCTGGGGCAAAATGCTCGATCGCGGCTGTTGCCATAACCATATCCCAAGCGGTTGATAGGGTGTTTTGTTGGTGTGGGTGGATGAGATTTGTGGAAAGTCGGTGGGTTGTTGTCTCGATACTATCGGACTCCTCTCTTTCGACAGTTGTTTGTGTTGTCGAAGGTGGTTTTTTTGTAAGAAGAAGTTGAACCTAGAATCGGCAAGAGAGTTCTAGGGTGGTCGAAAGCGGTAGCAGACAGAACCCTCAGTGATCTGACGAGGTCTCCTCGACTCCCCCTCGGCGAGAGGAAGAGGCGCTAAACCCGTCCTATGCGGCAGCTGGTTGGGGGAGAGAAAAGGCGTCTGGTGAAGCAAAGCGTCGAAGAGAAAGAACTCGAGCTTCTGCTTAGGCGACTTCAGCAGCGGGTGGCGGGATGGCGTTGACGATGTGGCGGGTCTTTCGGAGGCTGAAATCTTGGTCACTGACGAAGCTCACGGCCAGGGAAGCCGTGCTGGGCTGTTGTGCCTTTGAGTTGACCAAAGGCTAAGTCGGCGGTGGGAAGGGGTGATCTTTATACAAGATCTGGAGAGGCGGTATGGTTAGCGAGGAGCTTCTTCACTATGAGGGTCTTCTTGATGGCGTTATCGACAATGAGACGGAGATGAGGAAGTGAAATGGTAAATGGCATGAATTAGGAGAGTGATTTTCTGTCGCAAGCTTTGCTGGGTGGTGGTGGTGAGGGGTAGGGAGCAGCAATGGCTCAGCTTGTGTTGTTGTGTGTGAAGACACACGATGACGATGCCATGTGACACGCGAGAGACGTGCAAGGTCAAGGCAAGTTGCGCAAATGTCTTCCGTTTCGAAGGGGAAAAAAAGACGGAACTCACCAAGTTGTTGAAACTGGACGGAGAGGCGATGCTCGGGTCCAGGTAGCTGGTTAACAGTTGCGGTGTTTTGCGAAGAGCGGGAGCTGGCGAGCAATTTGGTTGACGGTGAACCTTTGGTTTGGTGTTGGAGGACCAAGTTTGTGGCGGGGGGGTCCGTAAAGGCTTTTTATTGCGACGGGCTCTGAGGGTAGGTTTCGTCTTCTTTCTCCAGAAGTCCTTTTGGGTACCTTATTAGTGGAGCGGCGACTGGCTGGCTGGCCACACCACACACACACACAAACGCAGCTGCCCACAATTCTTGTTCAAAATTTTCCCCCTTGTCAAGGAGCATTGACTTCCAGCAACAGCTGCGGCTACAGCCACATCACTCACTCATCACTGCGCTTGGAACCTGACCCGTCCGGCGTCTGCTCTCTTCTCTCTCTCTACAGACCGCAAGCTTTCCTCAGGAGCCAAGGTTCAGCCCGGCTCCATACAATGATGCTCGCCTGCTGAGTCTTCGGTCAAGTACCCGGCGTACCCAGTTTCAATATCCCGTTGAACCCGCTGCCGACCACAAAAAAAGCCAACCTCCAAGTTGAGGCCTTCCACCTCCACCAGTGGTGGAGAGAGACGCTCCCGTGGGAGAGACATGTACATGTGGTACATCGGGCCGCGTACCTTGTTCTGCAGGTTCCGGTGTCTGAGATGCATGGGTGATCGGATGTACTCCGTACATGACCTCACGCTGAAGAATAGGCGCAACAATTACAGCAAGTAAAGTACCTGAAGCTTAAAAGATGGTACCGGCCTCCTGTGCTCTGCCCTGGGCTCGGGTGGGCCGAAGGGAAGACACATTTCCATTTGGGCATGATTGTTATTGCTCCTCTCGTTACGACTACGTCGTATGTAAGTATATTTTGATGCAAAACGAACACCTGCCGGCTTTGTCTTGGTTGACACGCATTCATCCACCATTACGAACCACCCGCATACTCTGCGTCGTTACCATTCCAAGTCGTCACCACTATTTGCAAATGACATGGACTGCTTGAAACTCCATTAAGTGCATCACCGTTGTCCACATTGTCCACAACGGGTGAAGCTAGCACAAGAGACGCCTGCTAGTTGCAGAAGTTGACAGTAGCGGATGATGGAGCAGAGCACATGGGAAGTTGGAATAAGAGGGGTGCCGAATGATTCTGTCCCTAGGCAGGCAAGACAAGACAGCGACAGGCCATAAGGTGGTGGTACCTGGCCGGCTTCTAGAAGTAGATTCGCGGTGCAAAATTGCGGTCTGAGAATTGCCGATGTGTCAGCAAGATCGGTGATGCTCAGTGCTCCCGGAGACTGGAGGCTGCCAATGATGCGCTGCGGTGTTGGCCCTGCATGCGAGAAAGACATGCGCCGAAGATCAGAGACGGTCAAACAGGCACAGCGCGCCAGACTTGGACTTGGCAGATGGGACAGGGCATTTTCTGGAGAAGCAACGAGCTAGTAAACCCTAACGGTCCGCGTTGAGACCGACTCAGCCGTTGCCGTTCGCTTCATCGTCGACGACACAAGTTTCGGTCAGCACGACTCTGTCTCTCGCCCGTTGCCTCGCGAGGAAACGTCTCATCCGTACCTTGCTCTGGCCCCCCGGGATTCGAGGTTTGTAGCGTGAGGTAACGAGGGGTCT